ACTACTACTGCTGCTACTACTACTACTGCTGCTACTGCTGCTGCTGCTGCTGCTGCTGCTGCTACTACTGCTGCAATAACTACTAGTTCTGCGTCATGTACTTAAGGTTACGTTAAGGTGTGCAGTAAGTGTGGACACGTTTGTAGAACACAAGATGTATGAGTGTATATATATGTGTGATAAATAAATATAAATATACATCATATGAAGGTAGAATATATGCTATGACACGCTATAGCATATCATTATGACACAAATGTACAAGCAACTTAGTGGGCGACAGCACAACACGCACGCACGCACGCACGCACGCACGCACGCACACGTACCTGCAGTATCTCGATGATCTTGACCTTGGTATGCATGACGACGATGTCCTGACCTCTACTGTGCTTCGTTCCGTCCCCGCCGCTCGCTGGCGCCCCCAGCGCCATGTTGGATACGGCCGTCGCCATGGACGCGAGACCGGTGCTTAGCAACGACGTCTTCCGCCCTGTCAACAGATGGCAGCACCGCAGCGTCACCTATCGCCGTAAGTTTTAATTGAATAAGCCGGATCTTGAATCTAGATGGATTATAGAGGGCGCTTATCGTCACGTCGAAGGCTTCGGCAGGGGTGATGGTCGAGGGAAGGTGTGTCTGGGGTCAAGGTCAATGGTGGCAATGGCCGAGGGAAGAGGAGAAGGTCAGTGGTGTCGAGGGAAGGTCACGGCTCAAGGACACACACATGCATCACTGTACAACACAGAGAGAAGATAGATCTAACTATACTGTGAGAGGGAGAGAGAGATGGAGAGATAGAGAGATAGAGAGATAGAGAGATAGAGAGATAGAGAGTGAGAGAAAGAGAGAGAGAGAGAAAGAGAGAGAGAGCGAGACAGATAGATACAGAGAGAGACACAGAGAGATAAATACAGCGATAGAGAAAGAGAAACAGAGAGAGAGAAAGAGAGATATGTAGATACAGAGAGATAGCGTAAGAGATAGGCGTGAGCTACACGACAGCTGCATACTGCTACGACACCGGCCCCAACCTTGCGCCGCCTCATGAGATGTTATCGTCGGCTCCTGCTCAGCCGCCATAGCCTGATCTGTGGCGTCCTCTACTGGCAGCAAACACAAGCAATGCAAAGAGAAGACGTTGAGCGATGCGGATTGTAACTGTGGCAACCGCTCCACGAAAGATCTTCCCACTGATGTGAGAGCTCTTCTCCTCCTTCTTCTTCTAATTCACCCTTTCCCCTTCTCCCTCCCAGCTTCTCTTATCTTCTTTCCCACCCACCTCTTCCTCCCTGATATCGAGCAGAACCTCACCTTTCCTTTCCCCCTCCTCCCTCCCTCCTCCTTCCTCCCTCTTCCTCTCCGATCCTTACCTCCATCCATCGCTCCCACACTGAGCTGCACATCTGGGGCGCAGTCTAGAATGCTCCTCCTCCCTCCCTCCCTCCCTCCTCCTCCCTCGCCTTCCTCTCCCATCCTTACCTCCATCCATCGCTCCCACACTGAGCTGCACATCTGGGGCGCAGTCTAGAATGCTTAGCAACATCTTGGTGAGGCGCAGGAGGTCCGTGAGGCTGTAGAAGCCAAAGTAGATGAGGTGGCGGGCCAGACGCAGCACCTGCGGATAACGGTAACCACGGTGACGACACGGTCGGCATGGCGATGGTTGATGATGAATGATAATGGTATGTTGAAGTGATTCACTGTGAGTTCTTTCGTTGTGTGATGATGGTTTGATAACTAATATAGCTGCTGCTGCTGTTACTGCTGCTACTGCTG